TAGCATCACCTAAAAAGGAGAAGGAAAAAAGGATGATGGACGAACGCAAGAAAGACTATGAAAGTATATGTTTACTTGTTTGTTTGTTTATCCATATTTATCTGTCTACTAATTATTGGATACAAATTTGATAACCATTTAGCATCTGAAGAATCGTCAGTGTCCACTGCGAGAATAGCATCACCTAAAAAGGAGAAGGAAAAAAGGATGATGGACGAATGCAAGAAAGACTATGAAAGTATATGTTTACTTGTTATTTGTTTGTCTGTGTTTGTTTATACGTCGTTACTTGACATGACATGATAAATATTTAGCGTTCCAAAAATCATCACCAGCCATCACGGGAACATTATCATCTGAAAGAGAGGAGGAGAGAAAAAGGATGAAAGAATATGATAAAGATTACGAAAGTATATATTTATTTGTTTTTTTGTTCTAATTTGTTCATCAATTACTTTATATAAATTTGATAACAATTTCGAGTCTGATAACCACTAATGGAATGATATTATCTGAAAGATAAAGGAGAAAAAGAAACGAAAGATGAAAGATGACAAAAATTACATTTGTTTATTTATTTATTAATCACTTTACACTCTACACAAATTTTAATATATGGCATTTTATCTTAAATGAAAGTTTCAGCTTCTGGGAAGGATGTCGCATCTCTGTCAGCATCATCAAAAAGTTCAGCAAAATTTTTGTTGGAGACAATTCAAAGAAACTACAGACTTGCTGAACGAACAACATTTTTAACTATCTATGAAATTGAAGATTATGATGAAAATGATGGAAGAGGGAGTCAGAAAGATAATCAAAAGGTTGCTAGCAATAATAGCGATGATAACGATGATGAATGTGTGTACTTCTCGATTCGAGCTACAAAAGAAATAGATAACAATCAAAATTCTGACGATGAAAGTGTTTATTTCACTGTAGCTTCGGTGAGAGGAAGTGATCGAACTATTACAAATATTCATTAGAGCAATCAACTAATGCTGACAGTTTGTTTCGTTAAACAGCGCTCCAAACTATCGATGGTATCGAATATTTTTAGATTGTCAAGAAGTGATGATTCAAAAAAGATATATCAAAAGCTGAAAAATTATTCTTTTATGCTAATATAATCGAACAAATAGATTAATAAAAATTTCTTCAATTTCTTCAATTTCTTCTAAAATTTCTTCGATTCATCGATGTAAACGACAAACTGTTACCTAATTGTGAATTAAATTAAAATAGAATTATGCAATAGCAGTTTGTTCATCAAAATCTTTGTTGGAAACAGGTCCAAAGAAACAACAGAGTTGCTGAATAAACAACATTTTTAACAAATCTATGAAATTGAAGATTATGATGGAATGATGAACAGATGAAAGTGAACGAGAGAGAGAGACTCAGATGGGTAAACAAAGAGGATGCTGGCAATATAATAACGATTTTAATGATGATGAATGCATATATTTTTCGATTCAAAGTGCGGAAGAAATAGATAACAGCCAAAATAGCCGACGATAAAAATTTCAACTATTTGATAGCACCAATTTACTCAGTTCTATTAATTTTTTTATTGTATCACTTAAATTTCTTGACAATCCTTGTTAGTTTCTTTTCTTTCTCATTCTTTAAAACTTTACACATGATAGTCAAATGAATTTGTCACTATTAAATATTAATTTCATATAATTGATGAATTAAATTAGCAAGTGTGCTTTAATAATCAAAATTTAGCATTAATCAACAAATAACTTTCTTGCTAAATAAACATTTCACACCATACCACAATGTATTAATTCATGTCAAATGTCTATCAGTATGCAAAGCGATCTCTGATAGCTATTTAAAAAAAAAAAAAAGAAAAGTAGTAAATTACTCTAAAAATTAACATCAATTACGAAAAAATTCATTTACTTTTAAAATTTGCATTAGTCGTTAATTTTTTCATCACTTTTTTTTTGAAATGAAAGAACACTTAAATTACGATACATTTTAATGACAATCATCATCGTTCACATAGGTGACTTCAAGAAGCTATCTGATATTTAATCAAAAAAGAAAGAAAGGAAAAAATGATGTTTTACTCTTTTTCTTAAAACATTCATTTACGAAATATTTGGCATTATTAAAGTATTCAAACACGAAATTGATACTAATTTTTCTCCTTTCCTTTCATAACCAAATTTATTTTCCAATCTTCTTTTGCCATCTTCAAACTAACAATTTCATCTATCACATAAATGTAAATTATGTTAGCCTATTATGAAGGAATTTATCCATCCGTTCTGATAACGATTTTTGCACATAATATATTCCAATTTGTGGCTTATCAAATTATCACATTTAATATCAATGGTTCTTTGACATTATCATACTTTTGTGACTTATCAAATTATCATATCTAATATCAATGATCTTTTGCCGTTATTATGTAAATTATGTCAGCCTATGTTGAAGGAATTTGTCCATCCGTTTTTCGAATAGGTCAATTTTGGTCAATTTTTTTTTTTTGATGGAAAATTTTAAACTTCATGAAAGAATATTACCCTATTTCTTCTTATTTTTCATTTGTTTATATTCTAACCAAAAAGAGAAAAAAGGTCATTCAAATTTAAATCTTTTTAAATGTTCCAAAAAAGTGAATAAATTTATTCACTTTTTTCCTTAATTTTTTTATCATTCTATGATCTCATGTATAAGCTTTTTTTTCGTTTTAAGAAAATAAATTTCTAGCTATTCTGCAAAAATGGTATTTAAAAAAAATAATAAAAATTAAGAATGACATACATTATTCGATCGATACCTCTTTATGATATCATTTATTGTTTAACAACTCTAACTGTTTTTTTGCGCTTATTTTGAAGTTAAAAGTAATATTTTAAAGTTAAACGATTAATTGGATGTGGCATTTGGATAACATTTTATTGCTAATTACTACACGATATGGCAATATTTTGAGATACTTTTCCGGTTTTACGAATTGGAAAGCTTTAAGCTTACTGGTTAATATATCGATTTCTCATTCATATCATTTGCAAGTTGCAAGGATAAACTATGTATGATGTAACAATGATAATAATAGTAATAAATTAATGACGATAATAATAGCAATGATAACAATAATAATAATGATAATAATAATGACAATGATAATAATGATAATAATGATAATAATGATAATAA